TGGCCCCTCCTTTTTTTTAATATCTAATATTTTTACATGCTGCTAGTGAGAGAACCTGTTGTTAAAATATTTGAATCCCACCATTGACCACTCATTTCAAGACATTCAACATAACGTGTTATATTGTTGGATGGGTTCTTTTGAATTACTTGGTAAAAATAATGCGAAGGATAGCTAATGATAATGAATTTATTTCTTCAACAAGTTACAGGCTACGTTTAGTTGTAGGCCTAACTATAAATAATAAACGGTTCAAATAACGTTGGATAGAATTAGCAAAACTTGTATAATTTTAATCATGGACGCACTAACCCTCAACGTATATCAGTCATTCACTCACTGATTTTCGTATTTATATCGTACTCGTTTTCTACTTACTGCACAAAAATTCTAGATCATAGTGTCATGCGATCTCTACCAAATTAAAAAAAAAAATCTAAATGGAGATATTACAAATATATCTCACGAAAATAGTAGTAATGTACTAAATATACAGACTAAAACATTAGAATATTTGTCAAAAAATAATATGAAAACGTTACTTGCTGCTTACCTGTTAAAGAGTATACAAGTCTTTCCATATTCTTAACAATGCCAGATAAGTTTGAAATACTGCTGACCATCCAGGGAGAAGTTATTTGAGCTATTAATCCAGCCACTTCACCTTGTAGTTGAAGGCTTAAAAAGTTGTCACAAAGGATGTTGGTGATAATTTTAATTCCTTTGGCCTAAAAAGTGTTTTATTCAAAACATTTGGATAATTTCTAGACACTGTATTTGAAACAGTTATTTAGAAATCTGAATTATGGATTTCTTTGTAATTTTTTTAAATAAGAAATGGTTTAGTGCAATATATCTTGTTTTTACATGCAGGACCGCCGAGAGTGGTGTTACGACATCGGGGTAACGTGACTAGTATCACGCCACGTCATTCTCGAACCTTCGTGAATTGTCGGGAGATTGCTAGATATAGTGTAGTCTTGTATATATAAGACTGGCCACGAAGCGACGGGGAGGACAGTGAGTAATTGAACTACAGTCAGAGAGTATTGTTGAAGTT